AAGCTGTTTTAAAGCAACTACAAAATTAAAATCAATATATTCAAAATCTTCTTTTTCTTCATTCCAATAAGGTGGACTATTATCCCAAATAGCTTTATAAACTTTACTAAATCCTCCTTCACCAATAATTTCTATAATTTTAAATTGATTATAAGGAATAAATTTTATTCTAATAGATTCTTGAATAAAATTAATTTGTATGTATTTAATAAATTCATCAACAATCTTATTTCCATTTGGTATATATAATAAATAAGATTGATAACAAATTATACAAATATTATGACATTCTTTTAAAGGTCTTCTTTTTTTAAAACAGTTTTTACATTTATTATAAATATCATTTTTAGGTTCAAATATAAATCCATAAAAATTTTTAGATATATTTTTATTATTTATAACTTTTTGATACGATTTCTTTTCTAAATCCTTTTCTGTTCTTTCACTATCATTATACATTGTAGCAAGATAATTTTGAGCCTCAATTTGTCCATTTTCAGCAGCTTTTTGATATTAATAAAAAGCCTTTTATAAACTTTTTTCTGTTTCTTTACCTTCATTATATTAAATAGCAAGATAATATTGTGCATCAATTTGTTCATTTTTAGCAGTTTTTTGATACCAATCAATAGCCTTTTATAAATTCTTTTCTAATGCTCTAAACAGTTCGGTTTGATCTGGATTATAGGCCAATCCGAAACTGATCTGAAAATTTCAGTTTAGTTCAGTTTGGATTATAAATCCTAAAAATGCCAATCTAAAACTGAATCGAACTGTAAACCGGTAAAAATTTGAATCGAACTGAAAATTTCAGATTAATCTGAAATTTTGGATCATTTGGAACGATCCTTTTATCGTTCGTTTGAAACGATAACTTCAATCGTTCCAAATGAACAATTTTTTTATCGTTCAATTAGAACGATAATTTAATCATTCCAATTGAACAATTTTTTTATCGTTCGTTTGAAATGATAACTTCAATCGTTCTAAACAAATAATTCTTTTATTGTTCTTTTAGAATGATAATTTAATCGTTCCAATTGAACGATAATTTAATCGTTCCAAATGAACGATTTTTTTATCGTTCGTTTAGAATGATAACTTCAATCGTTCTAAAATAATGATTTTTTTATCGTTTGTTTGAAATGATAATTTAATCGTTCCAAATGAATGATTTTTTTATTATTCATTTGGAACGATAACTTTAATCGTTCTAAATGAACGATTTTTTATCGCTCATTTGGAACGATAACTTCAATCATTCCAAATGAACGATTTTTTTATCGTTTGTTTGGAATGATAACTTCAATCATTCCAAATGAACGATTCTTTTATCGTTCTTTTAAAATGATAATTTAATCATTCTAATTGAACGATTCTTTTATCGTTCGTTTGAAATGATAATTTCATCGTTCCAATCAAACAATTCTTTTATCGTTAATTTGAAACGATAATTTCATCATTCCAATCGAACGATCCTTTTATCATTCGTTTGAAATGATAATTTCATCATTCCAAACAATCTGAAATTTCAGATTAATCTGAAATTTTTGCAATCTGAAACTAAACCGAAGTTGATCCGAATCGAAAATTTTTGGATTAATCCAAACCGTTCAGAGTTTTATTCTTTTCTGTTCCTTTACCATCATTATATAATTTGGCAAGACTATATTGTGCCTTTGCATAATTATTTTCAGCAGCTTTTTAATACCAATAAAAAGCCTTTTTTAAATTCTTTTTTGTTTCTTTACAAATATAATACATATTAGCAAGATTATACTGTACATTCATTTGTTTATTTTTAGCAGCTTTTTGATATCAATAAATAGTTTTTTTTAAATTTTTTTTTGTTTTAGGATTGGTATCCCTAGTTCAGTTAGTAATAACTGAGCTCTTATTGTGGGTTACACTGCAATAGCCACAGGTTCAAGTCTCAGCTGAGGCATAAAACTAGATGATTTTCATTAGAATTTCATATGTAACTGAATATATGGGTGTATATACTAATATGCGTTAAAAACTGGTCAATCGACCTATCGATCGATGTTAATCATGCCTAAATACTGAAATTGCAGAATAAGTGAATGCAAATGAAGCCAGGGATCGACAGAAACTTAGCCTTTGCTGATAGACCTGTAATGGGTACTGTCTCACATCTTCAATTTCAGAGGCCCTTATACAAGTAAGGAAGTAATTAGTAGATTGGGTACTATCTACGGGTGGCTAGGGTGATAATAGACTGCATTGCACTACCGCAGCATCCTCTAATCGAGTTGTCATTAGGGATAGAGGTTGGGTTCAATTTCTGGGTGAATTTAACGATATGGGTATGACAACCACTTACCTTTTTGAGATTCTATAAGATGAACAATGTCTAAGCCTTCCCGATCATATATAAAATACCCTGATATCAGGCAGAAGTAATAGTATCCAGATATGGTGTTGGTAAACACAGAGAAAAATTGACAAAAAGTACCTGTGGTTGAAAGTGATCCCTCTATCCAAATTTGACAGTAGTTCTGAGGTCTAAGGACTCTAAGGGCTAGCTCTTGGGGGTAACTTTAAAAAAAAAAAATTTAAACGATAAATAAAACTCTTTCTGCTACTATGCCAAGACCTAAGAAAGAGAACAATAAAAACCAACAAAAACAACAACCTCGCTCTCGCCCTGGTACTCCAGAGCAACAACCAAAGAAGAAATAAAACACTTTACAAACTGTTGAACCAGAAAGCAGTATGTCCACCAATAATAACAACGAAACTCCACTTATGGACATCGACCCTCTTCCACTCGATAAAGGAAAGGGCAAAAAAGTTTTACAAAGTGAAACAACTATAGTTGTTACTGTAGAACAAAGTGAAATGAACATCGACAACGCCAACGATGCCTCTGAAAATTTTTGAATAATAAGAAAAGCCCTCAAGATATATCTATAAAAAAGATGAAATTTTTTGCTTTCTTCCCAACAGATGACTACCCTGGAAAATCCTTTCAAACGAAAGTTTCTGACATCACGGACCTCGTATTCGATAGATTTGATTCTTTCTCGGGTGTCGTCCTAACCAAACACCCAAAAGATCAATCAAAAAGTATACTTAAGGTGATATTTTCTGACAAAGACGAAAGGGACGCGTTCTGTAAGATCATGTTACCTAAATTAGAAAATCGCATATTTTTGCCCTTTGACATCACACCAAAATATTTGTTTGTGTCACAACAATCAATCAAAATTACAGAGATTCCATTGGACGCAACAGAAGTAAGAATTAAGAAAATCTTTTTCCAATTTGAAAAGATCGTCAGGTTCACCATGGAAACAAAGAACTTATGGCAACAAGTCACAATTACTTACGACAAAGATGCCACCTTCACAGAACTTCGAAAGGGTCATGGTGTCTTTATTCTCAATGATATGGTGCGATTCTATATGTGTGACCTATCAAGGGATCAAATACTAGAACGATCAAAGTTTTCAGCCAAGCTCACATGCCTCCCACGTTACACTACGGGTAAAGATTTATCTGAACCCGGATTAATGACCAACGTGACAACATGAATCATCCCTAAAGCTAGATCCAACTACAACAACCTACAACATGCCTTTTTCTACTTCGCATCAGCGGATGATCACAAAGCGGCAATCAGTAATAATAACCTCACGATCAATGGTAAACACGTGGAATGAACAAGTAATAACACGAAACTATGCGCTATTTGTTTCTCCCCTCATCACAAAATAAGAGATTGCAATAAAAAATGAAGAACACCTAATGACAGAAACACACAAAATTTATACCAACGTTTCCAGCCCACTCAATACAATAACTATAAGGCTCCGTCTCGCCTTAGACGAGGAGTGGTCAGTCCGAATGTAACTTTCACTGGAGTTATCAAAGGAAGACAAGAAGAAAAACCTGCACCTCCAACGAAAACAAAATTTGGTATTTCCAACAACGAAGATGGATCCTTTGCGTTAAGAGGTCCAAATAATACACCACTCCCCTCCTGGACTGACGACATCCCACCTGATATGGATATTATCGACAATATGTTTACTCTAAGGCAATCACGTGATATAGCCGCTGGTACAAAAACTGGAGGCTCCATGCATGAGAAATCTAATGAAGAAGCTGATTTCAAAGTATTTATCAAGGAAAGCTTCTTCCACCTAACTCAGAAACTCGAAGATTTTACAATTGCCATAGGTTCTGTTATGAAAAGAATGGATACTATAGAAAATACCCTCAATATTAAGGTCATAGCTTCAGATGAAAACATGGATGACTCAGATATGGTGTACGGTTATGACACCCTGGCTATTGATACATCCAATTCAGTTATCAACAAACAAAGACGCACTATTGAGGCCCTCAAAGAACTTAACGATGCCTAAAATCTACGGTTAAAGCATTTTATAGAAATGGTAAATGACTTGGTAAACTCGTGTAATGCCTTCCACATGATTCTCGCCCAAAACAATCTATTACTAACGGAAAAAACAGCAGAAATATTGACCCTCAACATTAACTATGACATAACTGCAGACAAGGCTCTAAAGAGCCTTTCTCAATTTTAAACTAAATAATCATGATTACTGTTCCTACAGATACTAATAATGCTTTAACATCCTCAATAACTGACAACTCCATTCTTCCAATAAATATTCCAAATCTTACCATCACTACCCACAATGTCAGATCATTCACAAATACTGCAAAACAACATTTCCTCCTTTCCCTTTATTCCGCACATGACATAGATATCATCGGCCTTCAAGAAACTAACTTTAAACAAACACATGCAAAAAACTTCAATCCAACTCATCCCTCCCACATCTTATTTTTCAGTTCAACACCAAGACAGAGAACAGCCTTCGGAGTTGGAATCATATTAAAAAAAGACATTGCCCATCATGTTTTTAAGCACGATACAAAGCTAGATCGACTGATTTACGTAAATCTGCAATTTGCCAACAAACAAAAATTATGTGTCATTAACTGTTATTTACCATCCGCAGACTTGAAAACTAGACAGGAAGTCCAACATATACTTACAAAATGGATCAAAGAAGCTTCATCCCTAGATTATCATGTGGCTGTACTAGGAGATTTCAATGCTGATATAGACCGTCAACATAACCCAACAAACGCACTTAAATATTTTGACACATTGCTTAGAATGTTTATGTTTGATGCCTTCACTCTCAAATATGACTGCGCAAGAACCAATTTCCCTTCGTATACTAATAGTCAAAGTATATCAAGAATTGACTACATATGGACATCAACTGAACTCTCTGTCAATATACTGAATTGTTATACTATTCCGATAGTTTTAGATATATTAGACCACTTACCAGTCATGACAAAATGTGCTAACTTCTTAGACATTAAATTCAACAGACGAAAAATAAAGACGAAACTTAGTTTTGACTTCAACAAAATGGATGATTATAAATGGAGCAAATTTGGAACTAAATTTGATGCACTCCTGAATGGCTGCTCACTGAAAACTGTAAACATCAACACTTTTTGGACGCAAATATTGCTCAACAAACAGTGGGATCAATTTCAGGACCTACTGATTAAAGCTGCTGAATCGATAATTCCCATTCAGAAATCAACAGGACAATTTAAATATCCACGACCCCCTAGATTGTCCAAACTATATATACAACTTAAAGAACTCCACAAATTCAACAAGTTGTTACGATCAATAAAAAATGGGGCATTTTTTCCGATTTCTTGGTCACATTCTTACGATGTCTACATTAATATTGCGTACTCACTAAACTTCATTACCGCTCACCCTATCCCAGACTATCCGTTCAGTTTCATTGACCTTTTGCTCTCTGATACTAATTTATTGATTAATGTAGTTCATTGTAAAACCAAACTTCACAAGAAGAAATACAAACTTCAAGCAATTCAACAAGCACTTAACCAACGACTTAAAAACTACGCTATACAACCCAGTAAAATGTTAGATTCTACCTTAAATTGATCAAGAAGAATCATAATACTTGACCGCTATCTATCAAGAAATTCCAAAGATTTGCTTACAGACGAAAGTGAAGTTAAACTCAATATAAATAAACATTTTCAGAAGGTGGCGGGTACCACACACGAAAACAAAGAGATACCAGAGGAATGGCGCTCGATTTATAATCCAATTTCTAATATCAATTCCAATATATATAGATCCTTAATGTTACCCCCCACGGAAGATGAATGGTACAATATTATAAATTTCTTAGCTGATGGTAAAGCACCAGGTCCCTCAAAAATCCACAATGAAATGTTAAAGCACCTTGGCCCACTTGCCAAAAAACTGTTTTGGCATATTATTTGTGATTGTTTAAAAATCTCGTCGCTACCGAGTAGGTGGAAATTAGCATACATATACCCAATCCCCAAACTGAAACCATGGGAATATGACTTAAACAACACTCAGCCTATCACGCTCCTGGAATGCCCAAGGAAAGCTCTAATCAAACTGATCAACAGACGTCTTTCAACAATCTTTGTTCAACATAGCATATTAAAAGGACACAACTTCGCAGGTCTACCATTTCGTTCAACCTTCGAGCCATTACATATTTTCGATAACATTAAACATGACGCACTTACTAATAAAAAAGAGTTGTAGATCCTCTTACAAGACATATCTAAAGCCTATAATAGAGTTAACGTATTTATGTTAGTTAGAGTCTTGGAAAGACTCAAGCTACCCAAAGAATTTATATTCTTCGTTCTCAACATGTTTGTTCCTTGAGAAAATCAAGTTTTTACAGCCTTCAGTAATACAGACATATATAAAGTATTCTCAGGTATTGACCAAGAAGAAATCATTTCGCCTCTCTTATGGTGTATTTATTACGATCCACTCCTATGCAAGATATAATTATCAGACTTAGGATATAACATGTCAGTCAAGTGGAAACCTGATGTACGAATTGAATCTTATAACAACCTTCAGTGTAAAACGTCAGTCTTGGCATATATGGATGACACACTTTGGATTGCTCGATCAAAGGAAGACCTAAGTAACATAATAGACATAGCAAACAGCTTCTATAAATTGAACAGTATACAAGTTAACTGGGAAAAATCTGACCTTTTGACAAACTTGCCAGACACTCAGACACTCACCACTAATGTGCGCAGTCACGATCACGTAATTACCTCAGTTAAACCAAAAAACTCAGTGTGATATCTTGGCGTATGGATCTCGTTGAGATGCAATAAGATGTTCACAGTCAATCAAGCTGTACAAGATGTGAAAGCCACTATAACATTATTAACTAACAAAAAGCTTACAGACAAACAACTCATTTATATGTACAATGTAGTTATCATCCCACGAGTTGAATATTGTACACAGCTTGTGCACCTTTCTGAAAATGCTTCAGACCGCATTGTTAGACCTTTCAGATCCTTTCTCAAGAAAAAGCTCCACCTTCCAAGAGACACCCCATCATGTTTGTTTTACTCTAAATTTTTTTACGGTATCAATCATCTACACTACAAACACACACAGGCTCTCAGCGATGCACTCTTATATGCGATAAACGACAATAGTCTGTTAGGCTGAACTACCCATATATGACTTCAGCAAATACAAATACAAGAATAGCTACCGTCGTCCCCTTTAAGAGAATGGCCCTTTAACAACCCAAAATACTTCAAAGATTGAATTCCGGGCCTCTTATGTGACTTAAAAAAACTCGACATAAAGATAGTTCCACCTGATCACGTCCAAGGGCGTATATTAGGTGGTTCTACCTTGATACAGTTTATCATACCAAACAGCTACAGAAAATTTTTATCTGTTTTAGCCAAAACGTCCATTTTATTTGTGAAGCAACTCTTAACAAAAGACTGCAAACATATGCTCAGTATGA